GGGCGACACAAGGAAAGAATGTGAGGTACATACCAGGGCGTATTACAAGGAAAGAAAGTGTGTGAGGTACGCACCAGGGGCGATACAAGGAAAGAAAGTGGGGGTACATGCAGAGCGATACAAAGGAAAGAAAGTGTGAGGTACATACCAGAGCCGATACAAGGAAAGAATATGTGAGGTACATACCAGAGCGATACAAGGAAAAGAATGTGTGAGGCACATACCAGAGCGATACAAGGAAAGAATGTGAGGTACATACAGAGCAGACAAGGAAAGAAATGTGTGAGGTACATACCAGGGCGATACAAAGAAAGAATGTGTGAGGCATACCAGGCGATACAAGGAAAGAAAGTGTGAGGTACATACCAGAGCGATACAAGGAAAGAAAGTCTGAGGTACATACCAGAGCGATACAAGGAAAGAATATGTGGTACATACGGAAGCGATACAAGGAAAGAATATGTGGAGGTACATACAGAGAGCGATACAAGGAAAGAATGTGTGAGGTACATACCAGAGCGATACAAAGAAAGAATGTGTGAGGTGCCATACCAGGGCGATACAAGGAAAGAAAGTGTGAGGTACATACCAGGGCGATACAAGGAAAGAAAGGAGGTACATACCAGTTTATTGCTGTTGAAAGAAAGTCTGAGGTACATACCAGAGCCGATATAAGGAAAAAAAGTCTGAGTACAAGTTGACATAAGGGAAAGAATGTAAGAGGTACATGATACAAAGGAAAGAAAGTGTGAGGTACATACCAGGGCGATACATAAGGAAAGAAAGTGGAGGTACATACCAGGAGCGTTATAAGGAAAGAAAGTCTGAGGTACACACATACCAAGCTTATACAAGGAAGAATGTGTGAGACACAAGGAAAGAATGTGAGGTACATACCAGAGCGACACAAGGAAAGAATGTGTGAGGTACATACTAGAGCGACATACAAAGAATGTGAAATACCTGAGCCGGATGGAAAGAATGAGGTTACATACCAGAGCGACACAAGGAAAGAATGTGTGAGGCCATACCAGAGCGACAATGAAAGAATGTGTGAGGTACATACCAGAGCGATACAAAAAAGGAAAGAATGTGTGAGGTACATACAGAGCGACATAAGGAAAGAAATGTGGAGGGTACAATGAATAAGGAAAGAATGTGTGAGGTACATACCAGGTAAGGAAAGAAGGGAAGAGCGATGTGGAAAGAATGAGGCATACCAGAGCGATACAAGGAAAGAATGTGTGAGGTACATACCAGGGCGATACAAGGAAAGTATGTGATGGTAAAGAATGTACATACCAGAGCGATACAAGGAAAGAATGTGTGAGGTACATACCAGGCGATACAAAGGAAAGAATGTGAGGTACGTACCAGAGCGATACAAGAAGAATGTGAGGTACATACCAGAGCCGATACAAAGGGAAAGAAAATTTGTGAGGTACATTACCAGAGCGACACAAGCAAAGAATGTGTGAGGTACATACCCAGAGCGACAAGGAAAGAATGTGTGAGGTACATACCAGAGCGATACAAGGAAAGAATGTGTGAGAGCATACCAGAGGCGAAAGAAGGAGGCAATACCAGAGCTTAATAAGGAAAGAATGCGAGGTACATACCAGAGCGATACAAGGAAAGAATGTGTGGTACATACCAGAGCGATACAAACAAAAAGAATGCGTGAGGTGCTATACTGGAGCGATACAAGGAAAGAATGTGTGGAGGTACATACCAGGAGTTGATACAAGGGAAAGAATGTGAGGTACATACCAGAGTCGATACAAGGAAAGAATGTGAGGTACATACCAGAGCGATACAAAGGAAAGAATGTGAGGTACATACCAGAGCGACACAAAAAGGAAAGAAATGTGTGGAGGTACATACCAGAGCGATAAAGGAAAGAATGTGTGAGGTACATACCAGGCGATACAATGAAAGAATGTGTGAGGTACATACCAGAGCGATACAAGGAAAGAATGTGTGAGGTACATACCAGAGCGATACAAGGAAAGAAAGTCTGAGGTACATACCAGAGCGATATAAAGGAAAGAATGTGTGAGGTACATACCAGAGCGACATAAGGAAAGAATGTGAGGTACATACCAGAGATGATACAAGGAAAGAATGTGAGGTACATACCAGAGCGATACAAGGAAAGAATGTGTGAGGTACATACCAGAGCGATAAGGAAAGAATGTGTGAGGTACATACCAGAGCGATATACCAGAGCGAAAGGAAAGAATGTGTGAGGTACATACCAGAGCCGATAAAGGAAAGAATGTGAGGTACATACCAGAGCGATACAAGGAAAGAATGTGAGGTACATACCAGAGCGATACAAGGAAAGAATGTGTGAGGTACATACCAGAGCGATACAATGAAAGAAAGTCTGAGGTACATACCAGGGCGATACAAGGAAAGAAAGTGTGAGGTACATACCAGAGCGATACAAGGAAAGAATGTGTGAGGTACATACCAGGGCGATACAAGGAAAGAATGTGTGAGGTACATACCAGAGCGATACAATGAAAGAGAGTCTGAGGTACATACCAGGGCGATACAAGGAAAGAAATGTGAGGTACAAAGAGCGATACAAGGAAAGAATGTGTGAGGTACATACCAGAGCGATACAAGGAAAGAAAGTGTGAGGTACATACCAGAGCGATACAAGGAAAGAATGTGAGGTACATACCAGAGCGATACAAGGAAAGAATGTGTGTGAGGTACATACCAGAGCGATACAAAGGAAAGAAATGTGTGGAGGTACATACCAGAGCGATAACAGCGATAAAGGAAAGAATGTGGAGGCAAGATACAAGAGCGATACAAAGGAAAGAATGTGAGGTACATACCAGAGCGATACAAAGAAAGAATGTGAGGTACGTACCATAAAGGATACAAGGAAAAATTTGTGAGGGCGTACCAGAGCGATACAAGGAAAGAATGTGAGGTACATACCAGAGCGATACAAGGAAAAAATGTGTGAGGTACATATGAGCGATACAAGGAAAGAATGTGTGAGGTACATACCATAGCGATACAAGGAAAGAATTTGTGAGGTACATACCAGAGCGATACAAGGAAAGAATGTGTAAGGTACATACCAGAGCGATACAAGGAAAGAATGTGTGAGGCATACCAGAGCGATACAAGGAAAGAATGTAGGAGGTACATACCAGAGCGATACAAGGAAAAATGTGTGGAGGTACATACCAGGAGCGATATAAGGAAAGAATGTGTGGAGGTACGTACCAGAGCGATACAAAGGAAAGAATGTGTGAGGTACATACAGAGCGGTACATGAAAAAATGTGAGTTACATGTCGACATTACAAGGAAAGAAAATGTGCGTACATTGCCAAGGAGATACAAGGAAAAAATTGTGAGGTATTTGATTACAAATAGGAGAAAGTGAGGTACAAGGAACAAGAATGTGAGAGTTACTTAGGAACGATACATGGAATGAAGTGAAAATGAGAGTTACTTGCACGGCATACAAGGAAAGAAAATGGAATTTACTTGCGGATGGGTACAGAAAAAAATTGAAACTATTTGCGAAGTGTTAAAATAAAGAATGTGTAGAAGTATTTACCAGGGTGTAGTACAGAAATGTGGAGGTACTTGCCAGGAACAATGAGAGAATGAATACTTGAAAGAGGTAAAAGGAAAGAAAGTGTGAGGTACTTACCAGGGCGGTACAAGGAAAGAAAATGGAATTTAACAGAGAGGTACAAGGAAAGAAAGCCATTTGCTGAGGGTAAAGAAAGATTGTGGAGGCAATGCCAAGGGTACAAAAAAAGAAAGTGTGAGGTTTCACAGGGTTGGTAAAAAGTAAAAAATGTGGAGGTTATGCCGGACACTATAAGGAAAATAATGTCAGGAGGTACTTGTCAAGAGGTAAAAGGAAATGAGAGGTACTTGCCACAGGAGGCCAACAAAGTAAATGAATAGTTGCTGGAGCGTACTTAGAAAGAAAGGGAAGTATTGCAAGGAAAGAAAGTTTGAGGTATTTGCCGAAGAGGTACAAGGAAAGATTGGAGGTGTCGGTACTTGCGCGTTACAAAAAAGAATTTTGAGGTACTTGCAGAAGGTAAAAGTAAAGAATGTGTGAGGTACATTCCAGAGAGGTATAAGGAAAAATTTGAGGTATGCTTCGGTACAAGGAAAGAAAGTAAATGAGGAAATTACTTGCCAGAGTGGTACAACGAAAGTAAATGTGAGGATACTTGCTGGGTGCTACTAGGAAAGAAAGTGGATATTACGGCAATACAAGGAAAGAAAGTGTGTTGTACTTGCCGAAGAGGCCTAAGGAAAGAATATTCTGCTGAAAGAATGTGAGGTACATACTAGCGATACAAGGAAAGAATTTGTGAGGTACATACCAGAGCGACATACAAGGAAAGAAAGTGAGAGGTACATACCTAGAGCGATACAAGGAAAGAATGTGAGGACAAGGAACCAGAGCGTATACAAGGAAAGAAAAGAATGTGTGAGGTACATACCAGAGCGACACAAGGAAAGAATGTGAGGTACATACCAGAGCGATACAAGGAAAGAATGTGTGAGGTACATACCAGAGCGATACAAGGAAAGAATGTGAAGGTACGTACCAGGAGCGATAAGGAAAGAATGTGTGAGGTACATAAGAGAAAGGAAAGAATGTGAGGTACATACCAGAGCGATAAAAGGAAAGAATGAGGTACATACCAGAGCGATACAAGGAAAGAATGTGTGAGGTACCAGAGCGATACAAGGAAAGAATGTGAGGTAATGTACCAGATATAAGGAAAGAATGTGTGAGGTACATACCAGAGAAAGTGAGGTACGATACAAGGAAAGAATGTGTGTGAGGTAGGAGAAGTATGTGGTATACCAAGGAAAGAATGTGAGGCATACAGAGCGAAAGGGTAAAAGAAAGAATGTGAGGTACATACCAGAGCGATACAATGAAAGAATGTGTGAGGTACATACCAGAGCGACAGAGGAAAGAATGTGAGGTATTTACCATGATACAAAGAAAGAAAATGTGTGAGGTACATTAAAAGAGCGATACAAGGAAAGAAAGTGTGAGGTACATACCAGAGCGACACAAGAAAGAATGTGAGGAGTGGTACAACGATACCAGAGCTTGCTGGAGCAAGGAAAGAATGGAGGTAAAGAATACCAGAGCGATACAAGGAAAGAATGTGTGAGGTACATAACAGAGCGACACAAGGAAAGAATGTGTGAGGTACATACTAGAGCGTGGGAGGTGATATAATGAAAGAATGTGAGGTACATACCAGGCGAGAGCGATATAAGAAAAGAAAAGTGTGAGGTACATACCAGAGGACATAAGGAAAGAAATGCGTGAGGTACATACAAAGAATACAAGGAAAGAATGTGTGAGGTACATACCAGAAAGATGTGACACAAGCGAACAAGGAAAGAATGTGAGGTACATACCAGAGCGATACAAGGAAAGAATGTGAGGGTACATACCAGAGCGATACAAGGAAAGAATGTGTGAGGTATACCTAGAGCGATACAAGGAAAGAAAGTGTGAGGTACATACCAGAGCGATATAAGGAAAGAAAGTCTGAGGTACATACCAGAGCGATAAAGGAAAGAATGTGTGAGGTACATACCAGAGCGATACAAGGAAAGAATGTGGGAGGTACATACCAGAGCGATACAAGGAAAGAAATGTGAGGTAAGTATACTAGAGCGACACATGGAAAGAAATGTGAGGTACATACTAGAGCGACACAAGGAAAAGAATGTGTGAGGTACATACCAGAGCGATACAAGGAAAGAAATGTGTGAGGTACATACCTGAGCGATACAACAGAAATGTGAAAGGATACAAGGAAAGAATGTGGGAGGTATACTAGAGCGATAAGGAAAGAATGTGAGGGTATATACCAGATGATGAAGGGAAAAGAATGTGGAGGTAAGTATACCAGAGCGATATAAGGAAAGAATGTGAGGTACATACCAGATGACATAAGGAAAAGAAAGTCTGAGGTACATACAAGAGTTGATACAAGGAAAGAATGTGAGGTACACACCAGAGCGATACAAGGAAAGAATGTCTGAGGTACATACCAGAGCGATACAATGAAAGAATGTGAGGTAAGATACCAGAGCGATAAGAAAGAATGTGTGGAGGTACATAATTGCGATACAAGGAAAGAAAGTGTGAGGGTACATACCAGAGCGATATAAAAGAAAGTATGAGTGTGTGAGGTACATACCAGAGCGACACAAGGAAGGAAAGAATGTGTGGAGGTATAAGAATGTGTGAGAGCGACCATAAGGAAAGAATGTGTGAGGTACATACCAGAGCGATACAAGGAAAGAAATGTGTGAGGTACATACCAGAGCGATACAAGGAAAGAATGTGAGGTACATACTCAGAGTTGATACAAGGAAAGTACATACCAGAGCGATACAAGGAAAAATGTGTGAGGTACATACCAGGAGCGACACAAGGAAAGAATGTGGAGGTACATACCAGAGCGATACAAGGAAAGAATGTGTAGGTAACAGCGATGGAGGTACATAGCGATACAAGGAAAGAATGTGAGGTACATACCTAGAGCGATACAAGGAAAGAATGTGAGGTACAAGGAAAAATTTGTGACTTGGAGCGATACAAGGAAAGATGTGTGAGGTATGTAACAGAGCGATACAAGGAAAGAATTTGTGAGGTACATACCAGCGAGCGATATAAGGAAAGAATGTGGAGGTAAGATAACAGAGCGATACAAGGAAAGAATGTGTGAGGTACGTACCCAGAGCATACAAGAGAATATGACACAGAGCGAACAAGGAAAGAATGTGAGGTACATACCATAGCGGATACAAGGAAAGAATGTGAGGGTACATACCAGAGTTGCCACAAGGAAAGAATGTGAGGTACATGCCAGAGCGATACAAGGAAAGAATGTGTGAAGGTACGTACCAGAGCGATACAAAGGAAAGAATGTGTGAGAGTACATACCAGAGCGATACAAGGAAAGAATGTGAGGTACATACCAGAGCAGATAAGGAAAGAATGTGTAAGGTACATACCAGAGCGATACAAGGAAAGAATGTGTGAGGCGATACAAGAGCACGTGATACAAGGAAAGAAAGTGTGAGTTAGGTACATACCAGAAGCGGTACTTGCGGTGTTACAAGAAAAAAATTGTGTTTGGAGGTACATACCAAGGTAGCGATATAAGGAAAGAATGTGTGTTACTTGCAGGAACGATACCAGAGCGAATAAGGTAATTCCCGAATGGTACTTGGAGGTACAAGGAAAGAAAATGGAATTTAACACTGGAGGCGGTACATGAAAAAGTGTGAGTTAAAAGGAAAAATTGTCGACATTACAAGGAAAGAAAATATGCGTACTTGCCAGGAGGTACAATGAGAAAATTGTGAGGTATTTTGCCAAGAGGTAAAAATAAAGAGAAAGTGTGGAGGCCACAGAGGGGTACAAGGACAAGAATGTGTGAGTTACTTACCAAGGGTAGGAAAGAAAGTTTGAGGAATTTGAATGTGCAAAAAAGATTGTGAGAAGTTACAAAAAAGGTAATACTTGCACGGCGGTAAAAGGAAAGAATGTGTGAACATGCCGAACTATAAGGAAATAATTTGTGGTACAGAGAACAAGAAAGTAAATGAAACTTACTTGCCAGAGGGTACAACGAAAGTAAAAGAATTGCTGGGTGAAGAAAGAAAGTATTTACCAGGGTGTGTTGTACTTGCCGAAGGTAAGGAAATGTTCTGGAGGTACTTGCCGAAGTGGTTCAATGAAAAAATTTTGAGGTTACTTGCCGAAGAGGTAAAAGGAAAGAAAAGTGTGAGGTTACTTACCAGGGCGGTACAAAAGAAAAATGTGTGGTATTTACCGGAGAGGTACAAGGAAAGAAAGTGGAGGCACATACCAGATGATACAAGGAAAGAAAGTCTGAGGTACATACCAGAGCGATACAAGAAAGTCTGAAATACCAGAATAAGTGAAAGAATGTGTGAGGTACATACCAGAGCGACAAATGAAAGAATCTGAGGTACATACCAGAGCGATACAAGGAAAGAATGTGTGAGGTACATACCAGGGCGATACAAGGAAAGAAAGTGTGAGGTACATACCAGAGCGATACAAGGAAAGAATGTGAGGTACATACCAGAGCGATACAAGGAAAGAAAAGTGTGAGGTATACAGAGCTACCAAGGAAAATGAAAGTCTGAGGTACATACAGAGCGATATATAAAGAATGTGAGGTACATACCAGAGCGATACAAGGAAAGAAATATGAGCGATGAAAGTATGAGGTACATACCAGAGCGATACAAGGAAAGAATGTGTGAGGTATACCAGAGCGACAAGGAAAGAAAGAAATGGAGGTACATACCAGAGACACAAAAGGAAAGAAATGTGTGAGGTACATACCAGAGGCGATACAAGGAAAAGAATACCAGATGATATAAGGAAAGAATGTGAGGTACATACCAGAAGCGATACAAGGAAAGATGTGAGGTATATACCAGAGCGATGGAAAGAATGAGGTACATACCAGAGCGATACAAGGAAAGAATGTGTACATAACAGAGCGACATAAAGAATGTGAGGTACATACCAGGAATAAAAGGAAAGAAAGTGGTGAGGCATACCAGAGCGATACAAGGAAAGAAAGTGAGGTACATACCAGAGTGACATAAGAAAAGAATGTGGTACATACCAGAGCGACATAAGAAAGAATGTGGAGGTACATACCAGAGCGAGAAAAGAATGTGAGGTACATACCAGAGCGATACGGAAAGAATGTGTGAGGTACATAATGGAAAGAATGTGAGGTAAGGAAAGAATGTGAGGCCTAGAGCGATACAAGGAAAGAATGTGTGAGGTACATACCAGAGATACAATGAAAGAATCATACTAGAGCGATGGAAAGAAAGTGTGAGGTACATACCAGAGCGACATAAGGAAAGAATGTGTGAGGTACATACCAGAGCGACATAAGGAAAGAATGTGTGAGGTACATACCAGAGAAAATGAAAGAATGTGAGGTACATACCAGAGCGACATAAGGAAAGAATGAGCGATAAAGAAAGAAAGTCTGAGGTATACACCAGAGCTGATATAAGGAAAGTATGTGTGAGCTACATACAGAGCGATAAGCAAGAAAGAATGTGGAGGTACATACCAGAGCGATAAAGGAAAGAAATCTGTGAGGTACACAGAGAGATACAATGAAAGAATGTGTGAGGTACATACCAGAGCGATACAAGAGAAAGAATGTGAGGTACATACCAGGAGCGATAAGGAAAGAAAGAATGCGTGAGGTACATACAGAGCGGTACAAGGAAAGAAATGTGAGGTACATACCAGAGCGATAAGGAAAGAAATGGAGGTACATACTCAGAGCGATACAAGGAAAGAATGTGAGGTACATACCAGAGCGATACAAGGAAAGAAAGTCTGAGGTACATACCAGAGCGATATGAAAGAAAGTCTGAAGGAAAGAAAGTGTCTGAGGTACATACCAGAGCGATAAAGGAAAGAAAGTGTGAGGTAATATACCAGAGCGATACAAGGAAAGAAAGTGTGAGGTACATACAGAGCGATACAAGGAAAGAAATGTGAGGTACATACCAGAGCGAAAGGAAAGAATGTGAGGTACATACCAGAGCTGATACAAGGAAAGAATGTGTGAGAGGACAAAGAATAGGTACAAGAGCGAAAAGGAAAGAATGTGAGGTACATACCAGAGCGATATAGAATGGAAAGAATGTGTGAGGTACATACCAGAGCGATACAAGGAAAGAATGTGAGGTACATACAGAGCGATACAAGGAAAGAAAGTCTGAGGTACATACCAGACATAAGGAAAAAAAAGTCTGAGGTACATACCAGAGCGATACAAGGAAAGAATACATACTAGTGTGAGGTGTGAGGCATACCAGAGCGATACAAGGAAAGAAAGTCTGAGGTACATACCAGAGCGATACAAGAAAGAATGTGAGGTACATACTAGGGCTGATACATGGAAAGAAAGTGTGAGGTACATACCAGAGCGACAAAGGAAAGAATGTGTGGAGGTACATACCAGAGCGATATAAGGAAAGAAATGTGTGAGGTACATACCAGAGCGATACAATGAAAGAATGAGGTACATAAAGAGCGATAAGGGAAAGAAATGTGTGAGGTACATACCAGGGCGATACAATGAAAGAAAGTGTGAGGTACATAGAGCGATACAAGGAAAGAAAGTGTGAGGTACATACCAGAGCGACACAAGGAAAAGAAATGTGAGGCATACCAGGCGATACAAGGGAAAGAATGTGAGGTACATACTAGAGCGATACAAGGAAAGAATGTGTGAGGTACATACCAGAGCGATACAAGGAAAGGTACATACCAGAGTGATACAAGGAAAGAAATGTGTGAGGTACATACCAGAGCGATACAAGGAAAGAATGTGAGGTACATACCAGAGCGATACAAGGAAAGAAAGTCTGAGGTACATACCAGACATACAAGGAAAGAAAGTGTGAGGTACATACCAGAGCGACACAAGGAAAGAAAGTGTGAGGTATACCAGAGCGACACAAGGAAAGAATGTGAGGTACATACTAGAGCGATATAGAAAGAATGTGTGAGGTACATACCAGAGCGATACAAGGAAAGAATGTGAGGAGTACATACCAGAGCGATACAAGGAAAGAATGTGTGAGGTACATACCAGAGCGATACAAAAGAAGAATGTGAGGTACATACCTGAAAGAAAATGTGTGAGGTACATACCAGAGGAATGTGATACAAGGAAAGAATGTGTGAGGTACATACCAGAGCGACTTAAGGAAAGAATGTGAGGTACATACGATACCAATGAAAGAATGTGTGAGGTACATACCAGAGCGATACAAGGAAAGAAAGTCTGAGGTACATACCAGGAAAAAAAATGTGAGGCAATACCAGAGCGAAAAGGAATTTGTGAGGTACATACCAGAGCGATACAAGGAAAGAATGAAACCAGAATGGAAAAGAATGTGAGGTACATACCAGAAGCGATACAATGAAAGAAAGTGTGAGGTACATACCAGATGATACAAGGAAAGAAATAGGGTACATACCAGGAAAATGAAAGAATGTGTGAGGTACATACCAGAGCGATACAAGGAAAGAAAGAGGTACATACCAGAGCGAAGGAAAGAATATGTGAGGTACATACCAGAGCGATAAGGAAAGAAAGTCTGAGGTACAAGAGCGAAAGGAAAGAATGTGAGGTACATACCAGAGCGATACAAAAAGGAAAAAGAATGTGAGGTACATACAGAGCGATAAAGGAAAGAAAGTGAGGTACATACCAGAGCGATAAGGAAAAGAATGAGGTAATACCAGAATGGAAAGAATGTGTGAGGCACATACCAGAGCGATACAAGGAAAGAATGTGGAGGTACATACTAGAGCGATACAAGGAAAGAATGTGAGGTACATACTAGAGCGATATAAGGAAAGAAAGTGTGGTATATACGCAGGGTGATACATGAAAGAATTGGAGGTATTTACCAGGAGTTACAAGGAAAGAATGTGAGGTATACCAGAGCCGGTGTAGGAAAGAATGTGTGAGGTACATACCAGAGCGAATGAAAGAAAGTCTGAGGTACCTAGAAGTATGTGGTACTTGTCGAAAGGAAAGAAAAAGAAATGGAGGTACATACCAGAGCGACATAAGGAAAGAAAGTGAGGTACATACCAGAGCGTAAAAGGAAAGAAATGTGAGGTACATACAGAGTTGATACAAGGAAAGAATGTGAGGTACATACCAGAGTGGTACAATGAGAGAATGTGAGGTATACAAAGAGGTAAAAGGAAAGAATGTGTGAGGTACATACCAGGGCGGTACAAGGAAAGAAAGTGAGGTACATACCAG